GGAGTGCATAATATACAGCCCAGGATAAAGCAAAACATTTGAATTTTTTATTTTCGGAGAAGATCAATAAGCATACATATTTTATACAAAATGAAAAAACTACTTAAAACAGAAAAGACTACAACAGTTTTTTTTGTCCTTTTTTAATTTTGGCTACAGAAACACCATTTTATTTGATATTATTACCCTCTACGTTTTAGTGAATACAAAAGGAATGCACGTCCTCTCCAACAAATTCAACTGTCTTTTAGCCATGGTATAAAACCAAGACAAACGAAACGAATTATCAACAGTTGTTTATATTTCTGTTTCCCACATTCTTCTTAAAAGCCCTCCGGTAGCACAGCGGTATGGCTGCGGACTTATACTACTAGAAACCGGGTTTCGATACCCGTGGTGGGCAGAGCACAGATAGCCCATAGTGTAGCTTTGTGCTTAACTACAAACAAACAAACGTTCTTTCTCTGTCTTAACATGCGAAGTTAAGTTGATATTTATTGTAATAAGTCACTAACAAGTTAATTTTATAAAGATGAAATACACACGTGATTAAAAGTTTTCTCCTGAGCAGCCGAAATGAAGTGGCAGGGAGTTCGTAGCTAATAAACAAAGTACACGGTGACGTTAGTGTAATCAGTATACATAGAGATTCGTTGAGTGAGAGGGCCTCATTCAGGGCAACATTAGTATGTGTGCAACAAAAAAGACGCTTATAAGGGCATTAAGTTAAAATTCAACAATATCGTATATGTCTCAGTCAAGTATAAGGCAAAAAACAAAAACAAGTTGGTGCCTATCTTTACTGGGTCAATAAATCTGCTGTACTGTTGATCTATGCCTAGTGGTTGAAGCTAAACTGATTGCTTGTTTGTTTTGCTGAAATTCGCGCAAAGCTACTTGAGAGTTATTTACACTAGCGTCTCCTAATTTAGAAGTGATAGACTAGAGAAAGAGAAGGCAGCTAGTCGACACCATTCACCGCCAACTCTTAGGTTACTCTATATCAACGAATAGTGGGATTCACTGTCACATTATAACGTCCACACAACTGAAAGGCGAAGCATGTTCGGTGACTGGATTCAAACCCGTTACCCGCAGATTGCGAGTCAAGTACCCTAACCACCAGGCAAATTGATTGTTGACTTTAGATTTTCGGAAATTGAATTTTACTCGAAGTCAGAAAAGAAATGTTACTGAAATTTCATTTTAGATCCAGATGTCATAATTTTATATAGATTTGATTTTAGATCCGAATCCGCAAGAGTCGCTATTAACTTCTAGAAGCAGTTTCAAAAATGGATAGAAAAAGAAAAACGGGAGAGGAAGGAGTGCAAAAGGCTCAGTCCGATTGTATTCTTAGTTCTGTTGTCGATTGTTCTGGATTCAGTTCTGGTGTCTTCCTGTACACACGATGCTGATTTTGTGACATCTTTAATTTACCAAATTAATTCCGAACAGTGTTCTATTAAACATCTGCTTAACACTGTTTAGTTTATGTAACCTTTTGTATACTTAGGATCGGTCTAGATTATTATTATTATTGACTGAAATGGTTGAGGGTAATTGGTAGCTCTTTTGCTTTAGTAGGTCTAATGCTCGACATATCAAATTTATTGTAGGAGGGGTTTGTACTGATCACTTACTTTCTTGAAAATATCGTAAAATCTGATTGCCTACGGCCCGGCATGGACAGGTG